GAGGGAACAGTATATTCAAAGTCCCTAGAGCAAAAGGGCTTGGCAGAGAGTAGTAATTCAAAGGCTAATTGGCAGAAAAGAAAAAGATGACAGGGCAAGCAAGGGTAGAGGCCAGAAACTTGGCAGAGCCTTATAAAGCATTAGGCCATGCTAAGGACTTTGGTAATTTCTATTCTGGGGGCAAAAGAAAGCTACTGAAATATTTTAAGCAAGAGGGAGACATAATTTATGCTTTGGAAAGCTCTTTCTGGTTGCAGCAAGGTGTACAGATTGGAGGGGCCCTGTGTTGATGCTCAGAGACTTATACTTGTGAAGCTACTGCAAGTTTTTATCAGAGGAAGCAGGTGGTAGTTTGGGAATCAGATGGTGTCAGAGGAGGTGAAGAGAGTAGATGGATTTAGGATGTTCTGGAGGTTAAACTGATAGGACAACAATGGTGGAGGGGATATCAGAAAAAGGGAGCCAAGGTGTTTTGGTTGTATACTGCTGCAAACTACCACAGAACATAATTAATGGTTTAAAACAGCAACCATTTTATTATTTGCTCATGATTCTGCAGTTTGAAGAGGGCTTGGTGGGGCAGCTAATTTTGCTCTGCCCACCAGCTGGCATAAACAGCTCATATGTCTGGGTTCTCAGTTCTTGTTGCCAGCTCAGTCGTTTGGTTCCCCTCTGCATAACCTTCTTCATGTGGTTAGCTTGGTGGTCTCAGGGAGGTTGCACTTACATGGCAGCTGGCTTCCCCTAAGTGCAAAAATGGAAGCTGCTAGTCTTGCCACATTCTATGGATTAAAGATCAAAGGCCAGCCTAGATCAGAAAGGGGACTACACAAGGGCGTGAATATTAGGTGTGGTCCATTGGAAGACATCAAATCAAGTCTACTGCAGTTTCCGACTTTTGTACTTGGATGGATGGTGATATTCATAGAAATGGGGGCATGCAAAGTGTTGCTCCCATTTCCTCCATTAAAAATAAATCACTGTACTCTATAAGAAGGGTGATTATATTTCAAGTTTCTCTTCCTCAGAGTTGCTTTCACTGATCTCTCATACTGGATTAAATTCCTTTGTTATATATTCCCAAGGTTCTCTTGGTCTCCCCTTTGACATTCATCCCACTGGGGAGCACTGTCTAAAGCTAGGTTCCCCATTAGACATGAGCTCCAGGAGCCTTGGTGCTGGGTCTCGCTTGTTCCAACTCCCATCCCAAAAGCTCAGCTCACCTGACATACAGTAAATTCTCCATCTTTGTTGAATCTTATCTCATCTCAGTATTTCTCCAAATGACAAGTATTATTATGACCAGTTGGGCTCTGGAGAATCCAACTGAAACATGTACTGTATTTTAAAACCAAAACTTGCCTAAATATGGGCCACTGGGGACAAAGCCAGCAAGGAACTGGAATAACAGCTGATTTGCAGATGCCAAGTAGTTTTTGTAAGGTGCGAGTGGAAGGAACCAGGCTAGGAGACACTTTGAGAGTTTTTTAAAGTTTATTACATTCTCTCACAGTGGGCTGAGACCGGTGAACTGGCATCAGCCCCAAGGGAGGGGTTGAGTCCCTTCTTACATGGCAGAGTCTTGTACTTCTGGGTCGGGGTTGCTGGGGTAATGGCCAGAATAACAGGTTGTTCTGCAGAATAACAAGATGTGTGGGAGGGCGAGCCGGCCATGCAGACCAGGACACATGAAACAGTATGTACATATGGGGACAATGGAGGGTAATTTATCCTAACAGTTTTGATCAGTACATTGTCTGTAATATACTGCAGCTGCTGTTATCTGATAGAAAACATAGAACTGGTGATGCCACCAAGGCTATCTATTGTTCTAAACACCAATAATTCCACTGACGGATAAGGAAAGACGGGAAAAGGTCAACGGCTTCTCCAGTCTTCAGTGGCTCCAAGGAGTCAGGCAATATGCAGTGCCCAAGGGTGCCAAGGGCGAAGGTAAAAGAACAAAGGAAAAACTTAAAGCCATTTTTTATATAAAATCATTTAATTTCTTTGTTAAAATATACTTAATCCAGATGCAATAGATCAGGTGATCAGATTTCTCAGGATTCAGACTCCACCAGGAGGTGATTCCATCTGTGTCAAACCTGGCTCTGGTCACAGAACACTCATCTTTAATTCCAAATACTGAATGGGATGCAAGTGGTGTGACTGATATCTGACACATGGGAATATAGCTACTTGGTGGTCATTGCACGAGGTATCAACAATGCAGGTGCAAAAAATAAGATGTACAGTAACCTGGCCCTTTCCAAAAGTAAATGTATTATGATACTAAGCTTACATCTTCAGTGAATCCCAAATAAATACTAACTGCTAGCTCCTGTGAGGAATAGTGCATGCAGAGACACCTTGCATGTGTGGCCAGCTATAACAAAAAGCTTCTGGAATCCTAACAGTGCCTCTTAACAGTCCTGAGTATAGGATGAAAATGAGAGTAATGTACAGCTTGGCAAGGCTGCTGGATCCCATGTTCCAGTGGGGTTTGGAGTTCAGTGTAATTTCTAATAGTTTCTAACAGAATGCATAGCAATTGCATTTTTTACTGGTCACTTCTTCCAAGCTGTGAGGCCTGGAGCTGATAAGGAATTTCAGATATTTTCTAGTTTGAGCAGATGAACCCCAGGGTTGCTAATCTGGGGACACGGATTCCTTCAAGCTGCAGTGTTCTTTGTGCTGAGGATTTTCATGCTCCCCTCCTCACTGCTGATCATGCAGTGAAAAGAGCACTATCATTCTAATGATAAGAGTTTCAGTTTTTGCTTGAGCCTCAAGCCCTGTTTCTTAGACCTTCTCTTATCTGTACTAATGCTCATAGACACAGTCTAGAGCTGCAAGCCAAGTTCTGACAGCAAGAATAAGCCTTACCTAAAGAGCTTATATATGACTAGGAAACCTTCCAAAGGATGTAGGCAAGAGGAAAATCCTTATTTTTACCACCATGCAGACAACCCACCTAAAATATAACCCAGGGCCCTGGCTGGAGTGGGTCAGTGGTTAGAGCATCAGCTGCTCGCCGAAGGGTTGCTTGTTCAATTCCAGGTCAAGGGCACATACCTGGGTTGTGGGTTTGCTCCCTGCCCCCAGTCGGGGCGAGTGGGGGAGGCAGCCAATCGATGTATCTCTCTCACATGAATGTTTCTCTCTCTCTCTCCCCCCCTCCCTTTCTCCCTCTCCCTCTTTCCCTTCCACTCTCTCTCTGAAAAGCAAAGGAAAAAATATCCTCAGGTGAGGATTAACAACAAAAATAATAAAAATAAAAAATATATAACCCAGTAAATTACAGTTTAATAATATTCTGAACCATGCCAAATAGATTAAACTATCCTTCAACCAGATGCAAATACCATTCCCTTGAGGAAAACCAGATGTGCGTGTTGTGGTCTACTAGGTAATAAATTAAATAGTACCATCAGTGCTATAAAAACAATTGGCCTGACATTTATTGGAGTTAGATTGCCTCTATTTAGTATCATCACAGATAACTAATGTCTGCCATGAAATCCATAAAATGTGTGGCTATACTTTTCATGGGCATCTAGAGCAGAGTCTTTTAACCTGTCAAGCCAGTTTAATCATGGCCCATTTTCTAGCAGGGGTTGGGGTTGAGGAGAGTGTTGATTTTTGTGTGCACAGGAAAACTTTTCATAAGCCTGTTTGGCTCATAGGCACATTTTACTGTATAAATTCCCTCTGTCACTCAGAGGGAATCAAGAAAGCCCCCCAAAACTCAGGAGGATAGACATAGTTGGGCAGCAAAATCTGGCTATCTCTGGAGCTGCTCCCCCTCTCCATGGCTGAGTAGTTGGTCCCTACCAGCCACTAACGTCCCACTCTTTACCTGTGGAGGCACCTCCAGACCCTGTGAAATGCCCACAAGTGGAACCATGCTAGACACATCTGTCTGAATCATGGCTGTGCATCTGAAAGGAGAAACTCCACTCTGGAAATCAGTTTTCATGTAGAGTCTCCTCCCAGCAGGAACTTTTCTTCCACCCTGAAGAAAATACGAGTGTAGATTACAGTCACCTATTGATCCTTCCAGGTTCAGATTCATGATAACCTAGACAGCTCAATCTGGTAGCTTGGCTGTGCAGGAAGGCCCAGAACCACATGGCCCAGGCAGCAACTTACCCCTTCCTTGTCACCTGTGGGAAGGGTGACCTGCCTTTGAGGAAAGTTTTGTTTTGTATGCAAAATTAGTATAGAGTCTTGGTTTCTAAAGATCAGGGGTAAGGAGTCCTGAATGGATGATGGACTGCCACAAAAAAATACACAGGGTCGGCGGGTACAGGAGCATCCTTGGGAAAGATGCTGCTTTACCAATCTGGCTAGAATGACCTGAGAAACGGGGATGATCTCACACTTTGTACTTGATAATCAGACTACCATCTAGCTCTACCATTACCCTTTTGTGACCCAGGCCAACCATTCATCCTCTCTGGGTCAATATTCTCATTCATAAAAACAGGGCTAACACGTCCACTTCACAGAGCTGTGTGGAGGTTAAAGTAAGAATGTGTGTGAGATACCTTGCTTCATCCCAGGCACTCACTAAATGTTGACTATGTGAAAAAGCATCTCATATCACCAACTACATGGCACTGGATGAGGCACAGTGACCGCTGGGGCTAACACCAGATCCCTATAGCCATGGAAAAGAGGTCTTTCCCCTCTACCTCTGGGCTTGAGCAAATAGTCGTTAGCTGGCAGTGCCTCCTCTTAGGTCTGACCACTGTACCTCTGTGGGGTGTAGGGACTCAGTTCCTGTGATGCTGCAAGGGGAAATGGCAGAAAGAACATTCTCTGGGTTCTGTGATGGACTAGGCAGGGAACTTGTACTGAGAAGCTGAGACTGAATGTTAATATTTTACCTTCACCTCTGGCCCCTGCTTCCATTGAACTGTTTCACTCAATAGCTTTTAATTTCTGGACCTTCTGCAAGAGAGAGAGCTATGGAAGTAAGAAACTCAAATCAGGCATTTTGCTAGTAACTCTGAATAGAGATTAGGCAAATAGAGAACTATTGACTACAATAGTTTACATTTTTCCACATTCCCCTTAGAAAGTGGAAATATGGGTAGAAGTATGTTCCAAAGGCTGAATCCTAGGGGAGATGATGAATCTCATGGAGGGAGAGGTATAATTCTTGGTGCACTTTGTAAACAACTAATATTAAGCTGCTTTGGCTCTGCCTAGGAATGACTGGTTAGTGAGGACAACAAGGAAGCACACATGAATCTGCTCTGGGATGCCCTGAAGTACAGTCCTAGGGGCAGGCGTGGAGCGGGGCAGGGCGGGGCCGGAATTCAATGCTTTGCCATTAATTCAACTTAGATGAACTATTTCTGGCCCCTGGAGCCAATCCCCAGGAAGGATTCTGGGACAACAAGTCTGGCTCCATGCTCAAGTACCTTCAACTCAGCCCACCAAACAAAGTTAGCAAATTGTAAAATGTTCATCATTTCCTAATTTTGTATTATAAAATGGAATTAGGAACATAAATAGTAACAAGTAGCAAAACCCTGACCCTGCGTAGAGCTATCATCCTCTCAGCCACCTCTGCGTAGGCCAATAAGCTTGGAAAGTTTTTCACAGTTTTCAAGTTTCAGCGACTCTGCTTTCTCTTTCAATCGTTCATCTCTGTATAATCCTGCCAAATTTGTCAGCTCCGATTCTGAAAAATAAGAGAGGTACCAATTCAGCAAGACTTGAGCTTCTTTGCTTCATTTCAGTATTTCTGGAATCAAAGCTCCTTTTACTTTAATGCTTTCTCTTTCAATTAAATTTAAGAAAACATGCATTTATTCAAGAAGCACATATCAGGCAGCTATACTACACCAGGTGCTAGGGATTAAAGGACACCTGTGGTCCTGGCGTCCTACAGTATCTGTGCTCTGTTATAAAAGCACCAGACTTAGTTCTTATCAATAGAACATTTGGCAGCAGCCTTAGGAAGCCTGCACGTGTGCAGTAAGAGGAGACTCTGTTTCATGGTCTTCCTACGAATGGTATTCAGATGGCAGTCAGGAGAGGAGAGTCCAATCGCCTGCTCCTGTCATCTGAAACAAAGACAGCTGCTTCATTCTTTCCCTGGCATTGCTGGATCATAACTCATACACACTAACTGACGCAGCCTGCTCCTGGCGGGTAAGCCTTCTATAGAAGGCTAGGTTGCTGGCGGCTTTCTTCATTCCCTCACCACATGCAGGGTCCCTAACTCAAAGGCCAGAGGCAGCTGGGCTCTTTTAAAAGTGAAGTCATCTGGATTCGGTGACCTTTGTCTCCTTGACTAAAGGAATTTCATTTTCTCTTAATAGTGGAGAAGGTCATTCTATTTTTAACCAACATATAATCTTTGCTGTCTACAATGGTTGGCTGCCTGTACTTTTTAATCTTTTGTAAAGTTTCAGAGACAGTTTTAGGAGGGAAGGCCTGAAATGCACCTCCAGAGACACGTTGTGTGGTAGCAGGACGGCATGCTTGGATGGGCTGTGTGGCTTCTGAAAGCCTCCAACGGCAGGCAGCTACTCAATGCTTAAAGGACCATACTGTGAAATGCTATTTTAATTATTTGGAAATATGCTATCCATTCTTAATCATCTTGCCGACAGATTTTGTTTTTCTTGGTGGAACCAGAGGCACCTGTCTGGTTAATCAGTGAACTGCCTGGGAACAGGAATTAATACTTAGACAGGGGGACAATGGGCATTGGTTTCTGAATAAGCTTCTATCAACACAAAACACTGTCTGGCATTTTTGCTCACAATGATTCTATTTACACCAAGTAAGGCCCAAAGTGCAGATTAAGTGCAGGACTCCAGGGTGAGGGGTGGGTATGCATGAAAACCCTCCCCTACAATGAGGGCTCGGAGCCTGGGCCCTAGCCCAGCAGTTATTTGGCAAGCAGTGGGTCTCCTAGGCTTCAGAACAATGTGCTCTCTCCCCTCAGTGCTGGTGCCTGCAGTGCCTGCTAGCCAGAGCTTGCCTTGGCACGGTTGTCCTTGCAGGTGATGGGGCTTCATGAGGATCATGTGCTGCACCCAAGTGAAAGCCCTCTGCCCCCAAGTCCTGCCCAGAGTGTGGCACTAACTCCATTCCTCTGGCTCTTTGGCATGTGGGAAATCTGTTCAGGAGGCCTCTATAAAATCAGTCTATCGCTTTAGTCCTCTGGAATCAGTTACACCAGTGTATGGAACAGATTCCGTGGCCTTGCTTTTCCTTGAAATGATTTCCTTAAGTTTTTTTTTCTTTCTTTTCTTCTCATCTTTTTATTTTTTTATTTCCTTAGGTTTTTTTGTTTACCAAGTTTATCTAAATGCCTCATTGCCTGAAATCTCATTCCAGAAAACATTAAGGCTAGTGATTCTTACTGTTTTCTACGTTGAAGACCACGTAACAAGCTGGTGAAAGATAACTGCACATATATGAATGTTTTTCTCAAAATGCCGCTGACTTTTTATAAAGTTCTTTGAAACTGGGTTTCAATGCTCTAGAGCTTGAGACCCCTGCTCTAGAGCAATGACCTTGCACAAGGTCAGTGTTTCAAGGAACCATGTCCCATACCCCTATAACCACGCTTAGAGAAACTTCTTTCCAAACTGCCAGTGAATCCCTTTACCCTTCAATGAAGCAAAAGGTCAACTCAATGAATATGTAACTTTTGACAAGTTCTGTTAATATTCAATAACTTCTAAGAGAAAAAAAATCTTTGTAAAATATTTCTCTTGCCCTTAGTGTCAGTGTAATAAGTGAACAGAGTTTTAGCCTTCAAGGTAAATGGACTGAGGCAAATTGCCCAGAGAAGCAAGTTCCAGAACCTCTCCCAAGAACATTCTGCACAAAAGTCCAGATCAGAATCTTGACAGTTGGAAGATTCCAACAGATCCCAGCCACCCTTATGATCCAGCCCCATGAGACAGTGTTGCATCAAGTCTAGTATGGCCAAGCAAGGCCTAGACTCCACCAGGAACCAGGAACTTACTATGTGCCAGACACTGTGCTAAGTGTTATACCCTACCATCTTCGAAATCCATAGAGCCTCTCTAGGAAAAAGTTCATTTATCCCCATTTCAAAGCCAAAGCTTCTACCCACCCTGCTCCCCTGCTCCAGGGCATGGAAAGAAGTGCTCCTCTGCCAAACAGGGCGAGGGTCTTAGTTCAGCTCAGCCAGGCCAGGAGGCAGTTCCTGCCTATTACTTTTGTCCAGCCCAGCCCAGTGGCATGGCCACTTGGCATCAAGTTTATTATTATCTAGATGCAGCTGTGAAGGAGACAACAGGGCAATTAGTGTTCATAGTAAAGGATTATTCATAGAAGTTCACTCAGATTAAGCATTCTGAGGGAGAGCAGAGAAAAGAAATGAACAAAAGATTTAAAAAAACAATGGATAACTTTGCTAAAACAGTTTCCACTAGGTATTTTGCCAAGAGTGAAATTTGTTCTCAAGTGGGTTTATTTTTACAACCTCTAAGTACTAAATTTAACCTTGTTGGCTGCACTTGCTGCTGGATCCGGAGGGCAGATGCTGCTCTTTCTCAAATGGCACTTGGGTTGTGTGGAGGCTGCGGACAGCCACCACCATCCTTAAATACCAGAAATAAATTTTTAAGGGATGTGTGCTGATAACCCCATTTAGAACTTGTGGGTACACGCATCATGTTTATTCACTGGATTTTTATTTATATCTGGAGAGTGCAAAAGTCCTGAAACTAGGCCCCATGGGGATAAAGACAAAAGTCTAGAAGCCATCTTAGGTGCAATCCTTATTATGAGCTCTTTGCATAATTCCAGTTGGGGTATGTGTGTGGGTAGGTGTGTGTCTGAAGAATGTGAAAAGCATATTTTCATCCAGTTCTTGTAGAAAGCAACAAATTCAAAACCCTCCCAGGGCCCAAAACAATGAGGAACAACACACTGTGGCCTGCCTTTACCTGATTTGGATCCACAAATATAGTGCTTTTTAGTCTAAGGCGTTTATCTTGCTCCAAATTCTTTCCTGATTTTTGAAAAGTTGCCAAACCTAGTTTAACATGAGGTAGGGTACTTCCTGAACCCTCAGACTTTTCAGTGAAAATACAACTTCCTCCTCCTGCTTAATTCCCCCCTATACCCCAGCGTCATTGTCTACCATGCTCCTAATGCACCTGAGAGTTCAGCTGAGCTCTGCCCTACAGATGTAGGGGGCAGAGACAAGGTCTCTAAGGATTAGGATTAGGACACTAACTCTGTTCTGTGATTCCTAATCCTCAGTATTTTCATTGTTTTCCAGTTCTGAGAATCCTCTCTTCAAAAGGCATTTGTTGAGCACCTATTTTGAAACAAGGACTGGGCCAGGTTCCTGAGACACAAAATTAATAAGACATGATTCTTGTCCTCAGGGAGCCCACAGTCCAGCATGGAGACTGACATGTACCTATGGAACACTAACATTGAGAGAGCAGTGCTATGTTAACAGAACGGGCAAAGTGCTTTAAGACACACAGGAAGGAGAGATTAACTTGGGGGTAGGGCTGGGATGCATGATGGGTCAGCAAAGGCTTAGCAGCACTGTGACTGAAGAGCTAATTTTATCAGACACTTTTAGATGTTTAATAATACCCAGTATAAGGTTTTACAAAATGAGTTAGAGTTTGCTTTTAAAAAATTAACCAAAGCCAAGTTTTATAAGAAGTTACTGATGGTTTGTGCGTGCATGTGCGTGTATGTATTAGTGTGTGTATGTGGAATTCAAGTGGGATGAAAAGTGAACCTGCTGGCTGAGACACAGGACTACCCTTGCTGCCAGCACTCCCCCTTAATACTGGAATTGGAAGCCAAGTGGCAGACACAGTTACCCAAAATGTTTCCAGAGAGGAAAACAGAGTGGAAGGCCTGCTCACACCCACCCTTACTGAAGGGGCAGACCCAGGGTCACTTTTGTTCTGTGTGTCTACAGATGACAGGAGGGGAAGGGAGGGGGCATGTGACTCAATACCAACAACATACAAACCTTTGGTCTGGTTTAAAAAGTTAGACTGGCCCTAGCGAGCGTGGCTTAGTTAGTTGGGTGTCATCCCAGGCACCAGGAGGTTGCTGGTTCAATTCCTGGTCAGGGCACATGCCTGGATTGTGGGTTTGATCCTCAGTAGGGGGCGTGCAGGAGGCAGCTGATTGATATTGTGCTCTCACATTGATGTTTCTCTCTCTCTCTCCCTCTCCCTTCCTCTTTCTTGAAAAATCAATAATCTATTCTTTTTAAAAAATCCTCACCCAAGGGTATTTTTTCCATTGCTTTTCAGAGAGAGTGAAAGGGAGAGAAAGAGAGATAGAAACATGGATGTGAGAGAGACACATCAATTAGTTGCCTCCCTCAAGTGCCCTGACCAGGGCCAGGGATCAAGCCTGTAACCGAGTTACATGCCCTTGGCTGGAATTGAACCTGGGACCCTTCAGTCCTCGGGCCGACATTCTAACCACTGAGCCAAACCAGCTAGGGCTCAATAAACTATTCTTTTTTGTAAAAAAAGCTAGATTGGATCAAACAGGTTTCCCTCATAGGAAATGTAGAATTAGGAAATTGGACCAAACAAGCTAGCAACAAGAGCTTACACAGGAAGCTTGTGATGTAGAAAGTGGCCAAAGACCGGTGGGGCTGGGGAAGCTGGAAGAACAACCATGGCAAAACACGGTTATGAAGGAGGAGAGCTTGAAGAAGCAAAGGAGGGCAATTGGCAGAGAGAGGAGAGTGGGGGAGGTGGGCAGAGAGAGGTAGAGACTCAGAAACAGAAAGATAGAGAGGCAACTAAGATTTCCAAGTCCTGGCTACATGTGTCCCTTCAATAAACCTCCCTTCTTTTAATAGTATCCTGAATGGGTCTCTGTCTTCTCTCTGTTCACATAAATACGTGCAACCCAAACAAGGAGAGAGGACTGATCAGAAAGTTGGGGATGCCTTAGGTAGGAAGCATGGCGACCAGCTAAAGCCCCTTTTAGAGCATCTTACTTTGTTGTTTCTCCTTCCAACAACTTGTCTGGATGTAATCAATGTAATCCTTCTCTATGGTCTTCTCCAGCTCACGCAGAGATGCTCCCCTGTAGACCTTGTCAAAGTTCTTATCCACAAAGTAAGGCACCTGCAGGTTCTGGGTTTCTCTAGAGATGGTGTAGCCCAAGGTCCTGAAACATGGAGAGAGAGGCTCATGTAAGCTTGTTATATTTGGCATATCACTCAGCACTGGCCTCACAGACATCATGATCACAGTTACCTCTTCATAGGGCAGATGTAGATATCATTGTCTAATGCACCTAACATTTATAACTTCCCTAGCAAAGTAGTAAGTGTAATGTTGTCATTACTGCTATTCTATGAGCATATTCATACTGTGGGTTCAGCCTCAGCATAGTTACTTTATTTTCTTAAAGGATCCACCTCTCTTATACTGCTTTCTATGCTAAAAGTAGAATGTTAATGCTTAAAAAACAATCTGGATATTGTGTAGGACCTAGCATGGTACCTGGCACAGAGTAGGCTATTGGTAAATGCTGGTTGAATGAACTGATTGTTATAGTAAACTATTTACAAATAACCAGATAGCTTACACCCACCTAGCAGCAATCTTTAGGACAGGGTGGGGAAACTTTTTTCTGCAAAGGGCCATTTGAATATTTATAACATCATTCAAGAGCCATACAAAATTATCAACTTAAAAATTAGCTATGAAAAAAGCTCCTAAATTTATTGAATTTTGAGTCTTGACTGCAGTTGCCTTAGCAGGGCCAGACCAAATGATTTCCTGGGCTGTATATGGCTGGCAGGCAGGACGTTCCCCACCCCTGCTTTAGGACAAAATAAAAAGTACTTCACACATAGCTGGTACGTGAGAACGGCAAAAAACTCAGACCAAAATTTCAATGATGCATCTGGGCTAACTCTCTGTGGGTCTAAGATATCCAATGGTGTCTAGTGCTTAGAAACATTGACAGGTATGGGTTAACTAAATTCTAACCATAAAAAAGTATAGAAGGGAACTCAAATTCAAGTTAAAACAATGTGACAGCAATGTGCAAAGTGCAAGCTAATTTTATTCAAACTGGAAAAATTCTATCTCAAATGAGTTATAGTTGACCTTTTCCCAGCCTTCTCCTTTGCGCTCTCTACTTAAGTGTCTTGTTGAATGTCTAAGAGCTCAGGCCGTGACTACTCTCACTTCCCTTTGGGAAACTGTTAGAAGGTTCCTGACTGTCCCCCTGGCCTCACAAGAAAGGAGGAAGCAGTAGCATGTGGAGAAACATGGGAAGTCAGGAGATGGAGGGAATCAGGCCAGAGTGACCTAATAGCAATAACCTATCTTTGAGTCTCAGATTTTCTCTCTATAAAATGAAGATACTGACTTAAAAAGATAGTTTTCAGTCTACGGTGATCACCAACAAAGACTCTCCCTGTTGCTCTGGCTGGGTGGTAGCTCAGTTGGTTGGAGAGCCATCCCATACACCAAAAGGTTACAGGTTAGATTTCTAATCAGGGCACACACCTAGGTTTCAGGTTTGATCCTGGGTTAGGGAGTGTACAGGAGACAACTGATCTGTTTCTCTCTCACATCTGTTTCTCTCTCTTAAATCAATAAAAAATATATCCAAGGTGAGGATAAGAAAATGTGTTTTGTGTTTTTTTTTTTTTAAAAAAGAGTCTTCCTGTTATGTATTGCCCCATGGGCTGCATTTTGTAAGGTTTTTGTTTGCTAAACTATGATAATAAGTAATGACTCATTTCTCATTATTAATTTTTAAGAATAATGATTCTTGAACTTTTGTATGGATCAGAATAGTCTGGAGGGCTTGTTAAAACACAGATTGCTGTTGCTCATCTTGAGTTTCTGATTCAATAGAGTGAAGCCTAAGAGTATGCATTTCTAACATGTTGCCAGTTAATGCTGATTATGGTCTGGGGACCAGCTTTGGGAACTGAATTAATTGAAATAATTAAAGAAATTAAAAAATTCCTATCAGAGCTCATAATCTGCATGCAATACAAAATTACAATGAATTTCTATATTTTCAGCAAAAGCAAAAAAATGTGGTATTATGGCTGACTATGTAGCCTTATCATGAGTAAATCACCTATTCTTGCAATTTCTTGTTTTTTAATTTATCTTTATTGTTGAAAGTATTACAGATATCTCCCCCTTTTTCCGCCATTGATCGCCTCCACCCCGCATCCACCACTCCCAAGCATTCACCACAATATTGTCTGTGCCTATGGGTTATGCATATATGCATATAAGTTCTATGATTAATCTCTCCCCATCCACTCCCCCACCCCTGCCTTCCCACTGAGATCCCTCAGTCTGTTCCATGCTTCTATGTCTCTCGATCTATTTTGTTCCTCAGTCTATTTTGTTTATTAGATTCCACATATGAATGAGATCATGTAAAACTGAATCAGGAAGAATCAGAAACCTGAATAGGCCAATAACAACTGATGAAATTGAAGCAGTGATAAAAAAAAAAAAAAAACTCCCAGCAAATAAAAGCCCTGGTCCAGACAGCTTCACAGGGGAGCGTTCTAATTCTTTAAGTTGTAGGGTTAGTTTACTAAATTTTTTTTTTGCTTTTTGAGGTAGGTCTGTAGTGCTATGAACTTCCCTCTTAGGACTGCTTTCGCATGCCCCATAGATTTGGGGTTGTTTGTGTTCGTTTTCATTTGTTTCCAAGAACTTTTTGATTTCTTTCTTGATCTTGGTAACCAACCCATTCATCGTTTAATGACATGCTATTTAGCCTCCATGTGTTTGAATGTTTTGAGTGTTTTTACTGTAGTTGATTTCTAATTTCATGCCATTGTGATCTGAGAAGCTTGATGTGATTTCAATAGTCTTGAACTTGTAGAGACTTGTTTTTTGTACTAACATGTGGTCTATCTTTGAGAATGACCCATGTGTTCTCAAGAGGAATGTATATTCTGCAGCTTTTGGGTGAAATGTTCTGTAAATATAAATTAAATCCATGTGATCTAGTGTGCCATTTAGTCACTGTTTCTGTGATGACTTTTTATCTGGAAGATCTATCGAGTGAAGTCAGTGGGGTGTTAAAATCCACAACTATGACTGTACTGCTGTTGATTTCTCCCTTAAAGTCCTTAAAGTTATTATTGCTAGGTCCTTATTTATTGCCATTTAAATTCTTTTGTTTTTTAAAAATATATCTTTATTGATTTCAGAGAGAGGAAGGGAGAGGGAAAGAGAGAAAGAAACATCAGTGATGAGAAAGTTGTCATTGATCGGCTGCCTCCTGAATGCCCTCAACCGAGGATTGAGCCTGCAGCCTGGGCATGTGCCCTGACTGGGAATCAAACCATTATTTCCTGGATTCTAGGTCGATGCTCAAATGCTGAGCCATGCCTGGCCGGGCTGCCATTTTAATTCTTTATGCCTATATTTCTCTCTCTATTTCTTCTTATTATTACAGTAGTCCCTTTAACATTTCTTGCAATGCTTCTATTTCTACTTCTAATTACAGCAGTCCCTTTAACATTTCCTGCAATGCTGGTTTGGTGGTGATAAACTCCTTTAGCCTTTTTTTGTCTGGAAAGCTCTTTATTTCTCCATCTATTTTGAATGATAGCCTTGTTGGATGGAGTAGTCTTGGTTTCAGATCCTTGTTTTGTATTACCTTAAATAATTCATGCCATTCCCTTCTGGCCTGTAGAGTTTCTGATGAGAAATCAGCTGACAACCTTATGGGAGCTCCTTTGTAGGTACCAGATTGCTTTCCTCTTGCTGCCTTTAAGATTCTCTCNTTGTAGGTACCAGATTGCTTTCCTCTTGCTGCCTTTAATATTCTCTGTCTTGAGTTTTTGGCATTTTAATTATGATGTGTCTGGGCATAGGCCTCTTTGGATTCTTCTTGCTTGAGATTCTCTGTGCCTCCTAAACTTGTGTGACATTTTCCGTCACCAGGTTGGGGAAGTTTTCTGCCATTAATTCTTTAAACAGGTTCTCTAACCGTTGCTTACTTTTGACCTCTTCTGGGACTCCTATGATGCAAGTATTGTTATGTTTTATGTTGTCCTACAGCTCCCTTAGACTGTCCTCCTGTTTTTTAATTGTTTTTTCTTTTTGGATCTCTGATTGAGTGATTTTTTTTACCCTGTCTTCTAATTTGCTGATCTGATCCTCAGCTTCCTCTAATCTGCTGTTTATTCCTTCCAATATGTTCTTTATTTCTGACATGTCATTCTTCACTTCTGACTGGTCATTTTTCATAATTTCCATACCTTTTTTCATGCTGTTAAGCATCCTTACAATCAGTATTCTGAACTCTATATTTGACAGACTGCTTATTTCCATTTCATTTAGCTCTTTTTCTGGAGACTTCTCTTGTTC